AATGATAAGAACTTTGTGTCTATCGCTACCATCACTACTACTATTTTCATATTAGAATAATCGAAAAATATGGTTGGAAATAACTACAATTTAGATTCAATCATTTTTTCTCTCAGTGCATGACACATTATTTGGATAATTCTTATAGAATATTTCTATCAAATTTTTCATTTCGTTATTCTATAATTAACATAAGAGCCATATGAATCACTCCTAAGAGGTGCAACCTTTACAATTAAATCAACTGATGAAGTCGTTGTCAAATTTGTATCATTTATTCGGGTATCTCTGCACAACTGCAATTATCAGCATTTCACGAACGTAACGATCATATCCTAATAAACATAGAAAAAGAGAGAAAAAGAGAGGAGGGAGCGAAGCAGAGTGAAGCGAGGAAGGGGGAGAGATGCAGCAAGATTAGCCGAGGTTTAGTTACTCGACGGTATTCTCGACTTCGGTCGATACTCCGCGCGAGCCGCTACGTCACTGACGGTATGCAAACGCACTAAATTTAGATCGCTATCGTCGCTGCGCGATCCGTTCTGCATTGTCGGCACGACAACGACCTTTTTCCGTATTATTAATTATCTTCGGGCCGCGCGCGATTTGTACGCGCGCGGCTAATTGGAGGCGATCGGCGCCGTCGAGTTACGAATTCCGACGATGATGACTAGACCGCGGCCACGGCGGGCTCTCGGCACCGAGAGATCACGAGAGCGAGAGCAGCGCTTTGCTCGCATTACGGAATGGCGCGACGCTAGCCACGCGGGAGCGCACGTCTGACACGGGCGTCGCAAATAGCAGAAATAGCTAGCACGCATCCGAGAAAGTCACGGCCCGTGAAATATATGTCGTTACGTTGTCGAAGATACCTTTACGACTTTCGGGATTCCGATGTCGCTCGTGTCGCGTCCACTTAGGCTACTTTTTACGATGACGCGGCCCGTAACCCAGGCAGGTGAAAGAGTGGTGGGTTGTCTCATTAGGGACGTATACTCGCCGAGGAAATAGAAGCTAGAAGTATCCTACACGCAGGTGCCCTCCCCTGATCCCCGCGTTCACGTCACATTTTTAAATTACCATCCGACAACGAAAAGGATATAACGACTGGGCGATCGATCGCGCTATTACTCGTCGTCAACATCCGCTTTGCGTGTTTTACGAGTGAAGGTACCGGCGTGTAAGAAATCGTCAAAAAGCGTGGGAACGTCCGATTCGCCGAATAAATTCCCGGAAAAAAATTTTAATTGTCAATACCCTCGTGGAAAGTCGACTCGTCAGCCGACAACATCTCCGCTCAAACAGGCAGGTGTATGTAGATTTGGCGGCTACTTTATTAGTCGATTTGTAAAGGTTGCGTCTTTTATGAGGAGTTCATATAGCACTCACACAGAGCGACAAAATAGAAATGCGAAAGAAACACGAAAAAAAAAATTATCAAAATTTGCTCAAAGCAATGTGTCGTATAATGTGTAAATATAATGTGAAGCTCTGAGGCCCGTATTAATAGTTATTACTTGAAACTTAAATGAAAATTAAATGAAATATTCAGATTTGAATTTAAAATTAGATATGAATTTTTCAGCTAAGTCGTCATCAGAAATGTCATGTGGCATAAATTGTGTGATTTAAATAAAATACTCAAATCTATATAACTTTAAATCTATATCTATTTCTGAGTGTCTCACATGGGGGACAAGTTTTAAGTAATGGCTATTAATATGGACCTGAGTGTGTAACTTTCAGTAAATTTGTTGCTACACTTATAAAGCAAATGCACTAAATAAATAAATAATTAAATTTACATTATGTAGTAATGTGAAATTTTAGTTATATTGCGTAGAGAAAAAAGTTTCATTAAATTAACTTGACAATGAACAAACCAAGTCCGCATTTTAGTTGAAGGAAACAGAATTTCTAATTCTTAGAATCGAATTTGAATCATAAGAAATTCCGCTTCATTCAACCAAAACAGTTCATTCATTATCAGATTAATTCGACTAAAACTGTGAAATGTGCTATTAAATCTATTATGTTTTTTGAGAGAAAAGAATATTTAAAAAGTAAAAATATTTATTCTCTCAGTAGGAGTATTGATAACATCCATTTAAACTAATCTACCAAATAATTTTCAAATAAAAAAAATATACAAAGTTTTAAGACTTTAGTGAATTTTCCACAAAACTATTTATTTCATTTGAATAAAATAATTTAGAGATTCCTGTAAATATATGTTATGTAGCACCTACCGAATATAAATATTTTTTTTTTATTTTTTAGATATTTTTCTCTCGACTGTAACAAAATAGACTTTATTAACAGTTCATTTTCCTCTGCCCTACTAGAAATACAGCAAGACTGAAAAAAATTTGAAAAAAGACTATAATTTGAAAAACTTTTGAAAAAAATGAAAAAAAAACTGAAAAAAAATTTGAAAAAAGACTATAATAATAAAAATAATAATAATTTTGATTATCAGTCATTATCAATATTCTCTTTGTAACGTGAAGTTTCCATCACCGATTGTGACGCGATGATCGAGTCGCGATAATTATGCGAATCTCGTTGCCTGTATTTCCCTCTGTTCGACGTAACTCTCCAGACTCGTGCGGGAATGCATTACGCGGAGGGAAAGAGAGAAGAAGACGAAGGGATATAATATACGAGAAAAAAGTCGGCGCTCTTTGGTTTTGACGGAGTCGAGGGTTAATGCGCGACGAAATCCCACCGTGTTTCCTATGCGCAATAATGTGCGAACGTGACAGCCCTACATAATACACCCGGCCATCTCCAGCCAGACGGAACGTTCCGAGAATCATCGGTAACGCCTAACCAGGCGCGAGCCGCTCAACCTCGTTATTACATCTCTCGGCAAATTCCTTTCCGCGTTCACGGGGACGTCTAGCGTCCCGGGAGCGCTCGGCCGTCGCGACTCGCCGGTCGCCATGGTGTTCGTAAATCTTTCGCCGCGGTTACAGCCGCCGGGCATTACGTTGATGCACTATTTATAAACACGTGACATCGAGATGAGTGGTAGGTGCGGGTGGGCCAAGAAAACCTACGTCGCTGCCGGTCGAGTAGTTTCGTGTTCTCGCCTCTTCTCGTCCACCTGCTCTCTCGTGTAGTCAGGCGTTTTCCTCCGCCTCTCTCCTCTCTCTCTATTACTACCTCCGTCTTTTTCTCTCTTTCTCTCACCCGGATTCTATCTCTTTCCGTCTAATTCTCGTCTAATTCACCTCTCGCATCGCTCGCTTTACTGTCGGTCGCGTTAAATTCCTCGCGAGAGATCGCGAAGATTCACCCGATCGCTTTTAACACTTTTCTCTTCCGCATGGTGGAAAAACTGACGGTTCTCGTAATTATTACAAATAATTCTTACAGCGTGACATAACTTTTGCTCGCGTCAGAAGTCAGAAAGTTCGCATGGATGAGTGCGAATGGATAAAAAATTGTATCTGAATCGACAATGGCGTTGAATCGACAATGGCGTTTATCCCGGAAAAACATCAAACGGGTAAACGTGACATTGTCGATCTGTACTAGGAAATTTTTCTTTAATATTCAAGATTTATATAGTTAACATAAGCGCGCTATTAATTCATAAATAATTGTTAAATAATATCACATTCATTAAAATATACAACTGTGTTTTTCCTTATCGGTGAACAATGCGATTTACTAATTTACTGAAATACTAACTGCATGCACTACGTAATGTGACGCTTCGTAAGCGTTCAAATTGTACGCTCAATTCGCGTTGATATTGCTGGACGTTCTTAGAATCCAGCCGTCATCTTATATCGATCGCTTTTTGCTTGCTTTATTTTGCTATATTGTATTGACGTATTTATTTCAACGGTATGTAACGACATAACAAAAAGTGCGACAGGTTACGGCACTTAGCGCGCAAACTCGCGAATCACGTGTAAATAATCGGTGAATCAAAGACAGCGTTACGTCTGACAACAATGGTAAAAAAAAGAAGATACTGTTTCACGGCTGATTATATTTTTAAAAACGAGATTCTTCTTTCGCGTAAATTCTAACTTTTAGCTACACGATGAATATAAATATCGTATTTAACATTTCGAGAAAAATAGCATCATAATCTGTTATGTGTTAAAGTTTTGAAAACTGACCATCACGACGATTGCTACATTTACCACGAGCGAAAAAGTAATCGCAAATTCTGTGTGAGGTGGCGCAATTTTGATGCGCAATCCTGAGGCGCAATTCTAATGCGCATTTTACGTTGCACGAAACAATTGGAGAATCATATTGAATGAATTGAACAAAGTATTAGAGTATTACAAATACTAAGAATTGAGAAACTATTAAGAATTAAGAGAAAAGATGAAGGATATTAAGAGAATCTTATTTTTAAGAAAAAAATACTCTGTAACTTAAGACTATCTAGTAAATAAGATGATATATTTAAAGAAATGTGAAATATATATATATATATATATATATATATATATATATATATATA